TGGGGCCCAAGAGAGAAAAAAGAGGCAGAGCAGGGGCCCTCTCTCTCTCTCTCTCTCTCTCTCTCTCTCTCTCTCTCTCTCTCTCATTGGTGGGTGTGATGGTAGAGTTTCTCTCTCTCGTCTTGTTGGACAATTGCGTGCACATCGTTCCTTCCCATTTAATGTAGAGTGCCTCTCCTCAGACCTCTCTCTGTACAATTTTTTTTGTTCACTTCCTTTATCCTCCATTTCCTTCGTATAAAGATGTGATCGGATCTTCTCTCTTTTTGTCTTACTTTATTCGTCTTTTTTCACTCCCAAAAATTATATATTATTTCTTTTAATTTGCATTTTGGAAGTTTGCTTTGACCAACTTCTTCCAAATCTATTTCGTGTGGAATGAAAGCATAACCAAAACTATATATTAATTTATAATAAATTAGTAAAAGTCATGGAGTCTAAAAGTTAGCTGGTTTGTAGAAGTATAGAGCGTACACACTTTCATTACAAGCGACGATGATCGGTCCATGACATCATATGGGGGATCCTTAATCATTTTTATTTTCCTATAATCAAATATAATATTTATATTTATGGAGTATAGTTTTCAATTGCACATGTCATGGATTGTAATCACATCAACCAATCTAAATGAAAATGATGCCATTCCTCCAATATCCTAAGTTATATTATCATTCATACCCAATCGAGAAAAAAAATAAAAGATTAACATGATCCTAACTACTAAAATGATGCCACGTCATTAATAAGATTACATTTACGATATGTTTACTTATTTGGGTATGAGTATTACTCTGATTTCCTTAGTGTTTGTCAACACATGAGTATTTCATGATTGTTGAAATTCAGGACTTCTCTAATGTTTACCAACAACACATTAGAATTTGTAATCAAACCTTTAAAAGAAATTAAGAGGAGTAGTTAATTTCATACTTATTTATTCTTTGATTGTTCTCGATAATAATAATCAATTATGCATATTCACAATCTGACAATAAAATAACAAACAGGTTATCAACCTATAATGCATGAGAGAGAAAATGAAGAAACCCCATTAATCCATAATTGCGGCTAAAGCTTGCTCACATCACACACACACGCACCTTTTGTTGGGTCCAAGGCCTGATTTTGCAATGTGGGAATATAAACAAAAAAAATGACTTGAGCATGCAACATCTACATGATTTGAAAAGACATAGAAAAATCCAAAAATGCCAAAAAGGCACGTACGTACGTGTGGATGGCGGATGGGGAGGATGGCCCTTCAAAATTTTCCTCAACACGTTTGGACGTCTCATCTCTCAAGAATCAAAGATCTCACACCCGAATATAGTATTAGTAGGGAGAGATGAGTTTGTTTGTTTTGAATTGCCAGATCATCATTGCATCCATATCAACCCTTTTGTCTCATCCTTCCTCCTTTTTCTTTATTCTTCTTCTCTCCTCCTCTGCAGATTACACAACTTACAATTGCTTGCTTCTTGCTTCTCTCTCTCTCTCTCTCTCTCTCTCTCTCTCTCTGCATGCACCCTTTTTGGTGTTGACTTTTTAGGGTTTTATGGGCCAGTGGCCCATGGGGACAAAGTGAGACGAGAGCTTTGTCACGTGCATGGATTTGACATGGAATGCCAATCGCTTTTTCTTTATGCAACAACACTTGACTGACCTGTGATATATTATTGTGAATATTCTGATGCAGTGATGCCATCATTCACCAAAGCCAACGGCAGGCCTGCCTACCTTTTTTTTTTCTTCCCCTATTCGTTTAATGACTTTCCAAGTTTCTATTCCTTTTCCCATGTAGTCCAAATCCAGAGGTGTATTGAACAATGCCAAAATAAGAAAAAAGTTGTAGTTTATTACTTCTTGTTTACATTTCTACATGAAAAGGTTGAGCACTTTGATAAGTGTTCCTTCGGCAATAGTGTGAAAAGCAATTTTATTATTATTATTATTATTATTATTATCGAGAACAAGTTGGATAAGAACTTTCATGCAATGGAAATGTCACTACGATAATATTTCAATTCAATTATATATTGTCATATAATTAAAAAAATTAAAAATACACGACAACTTAACGTGATTAGTTTTGAATATCCCTCAATAGTATTCCTGATCGATGTAGGTAAACCCATTGTAGACAAGTTATTTTCCCGACCTAATCTTTGTATTTTGTCAAAGTAAATCTTCATCTATTATGTACGAGTATTGTTAATTGGACCACATTTACTGAACTATATATGCAACTAACCACTTCTTCAACAAAAGTGGAACTTATCTCTATATGGGGCTATCTTTATTAGATATGTGATTAAATATTTTCCAAATAGTTTTATTCTTCATTATAAACGGATTAATGTTTAATTATGACCAAGGACGGACCCAGAAATCTTACCTTATGGGGTCATAGTGTAAAAGTTTGAATTTTTTTATATATCAAAATAACATTAGAAATGAAACGTTTATTCATAATTCATATAAAAACAACATTACAAGCTACAATTGTCTACGACGAGATATCATATTTTGAAAACGTAGTATTAGAACTTCATTTTTAATACAAGCAAAAACATCATTCTCAACATAAACAAAAAAATTATCACTCAACCATTGATTTCACATTTTGTTTCGAAGTAATAACTCATATCAATTAAAGAGAACACTAAATTTATACCAATGAACTACAAAAAAATTCATAAATGAAACATTCAATAAATCAAAATAAAATAATAAAATCATAATTTCAATTCAATTAATTTAGGTTTAGAGTTAGAATTTAGGGACATTTTGGAAAAAGCAAAAGGAGAGAGAAAAATTTTAAAAGAAGCAAAAATGGACAAAAATGCCCTTATTTATTTTTAGATTTCCTAAGGAATTCAATACATTTGTATGTCTTTGATTTGAAAGTTAAGTAGTTTTTTTGTCTTTTTTTAAAAAGCTTTGGCTTTTTCCAAAAGTGAAATTTTTTTTATGTCTAAAACCTAAAAAACCTTAGAATGTTACTTGAATTGTGAGGTGGTGGACGCGGCGGCAACAATGGAGGAGATGAGGGTTAAAGGCTTTGTTGTGTGTGCATGTGGGGTTAGGGGAGGGGAGGGGGGAAAGGGATGGAGGGACAAAAGAATTGGGGTTTTGGGAGTTGCTAGGATCGGGTATGGAGGGGTTTAGAATAGCTGGAGTTGTTTTTATTTTATTTTTAAGACCTAGCCCAAAACGACATCGTTTTGGCCAGGTCACTTAAAAATAAAAGAAATTCGCTGGGCTAAAACGACGTCGTTTTGCCCAGCATTTTAACAAAAAATGAAGCAGCGCTACTTCTTCTTCTTCCTTGCGCAACAGCCATTTCGTTCAGGCCAAACAACAAGCAAGTGGAGGGCATCCATGGGGTCGCACAGTCAGCTAAAAGGGACCTTCAAGCTTATTTCCATGGAGGTCATAGGGTCGTTTGACCTCATTGACCCCACTGTAGGTCCGTACCTGATTATGACTTGTGGCAGAAGAGATTATACTTTTGAACTTTGGGCATGAACAAGAACAATTTGGGAATTTAAGAGGCAGAGAGTGGTAGATAAAAAAGCCCACATCCCCCAAATGAGGCCCAAGATTTCACAACCATTGCAGGCCGAATTGAATATCCAACGAGCCCGCAGTCTAATAAGGCAAAAAAGTAACCTCTCTCCGAAGGCCCATACCCTTAAACCCCGAAAGCAAATGCAAAACCCTCACTAGAAGAAACCAGGCACCAAAACAACAACCGAAAAGGAAAAATATGGCCAATCGGTGGCGCTCAGCCGGCGGCAACCTCCGCGCGGTTCTGCAACACCCTAGCTCGCGGCAACAAGCTCCATTTCAATCCTTTTCGGCTCTGTATCACACGATCCAAGCCATCCCGAGGGAGTGCACAGGGAACAGAGTCTCCGTCAAAGACCGAGCCCAGGGTCGAATTCCAGCTGTCGTGTTCTCGCAGGAGCTAAACCCTAGCACCACCACCGTTCGATCGGTCTCCAAAAAGCACTTGTTGACCACCGAGAGGAAGCAGATTCAGGCCATTCTCAAGTCAGTTGAGCTCCCGTTTTTCTGCTCCACTAGGTTCCCGCTCCAGATCCGAGCTGGGTCCGGGTCATCGGATCTTCTTGAATCCGGAAACGTCCTACCCATCAAGGCAATTACTCATTTCTTCATCCATGCCTTTCTTGTTTTAAAAAAAATATATATAAAAGCTTGAAATTTATAACTTGTTTTGGATTTTTGGGATTGTGATTGTGTGCAGATTCATAGGGACGAAGAGAGTGGGAAGATACTGAACTTGGTGTTTGTTTGGGCGGATGAGGGCTCGCAGCTGAAAGTGGATGTCCCTGTTGTTTTCAAAGGTGAAGATGTATGCCCTGGTCTCAAAAAAGGTAATTTCTTTGCTTTTTAAAACACTAAGTTTTCTGTGTGCGCACCCAATTTTTACATTAACAAAGACGTTTCAATTTTGTCATATCATGTACACGCTGATCAATCCTTCCAAGCTTTTGTTGTGAATTCTATCCTAAAACCTAAAACCTAAAACCATACATAATGAAGTTGGATACTTATTTGGCCATGGCTTTGATACATTGCTTCAGCTCATGCTGTTCCTTTTATAATCTGTGTATCTTAACTGTTACTTGTTGAAAACCAACAAAATGAAGCTACTGCAGCTACCGTTGTTGCCGTTCTTGTTTAAAGTACACGTGTAAAGGCTTATCATTACTGGAGTTCCTGTTTTACACATTGTGTCGTCGCTGCCTTTATTGCGTGTATGATTTCCATATGCACCGGTTATTCTGAGTACAACATTCACATTGTGAGAGTATGTCTGCCATGTTCATAATTTTTCATGCATCTGACAGAAGTTCATTCAAGATTGATTATTGTTGGGCATAATTGACTATGTAGTCTGTACACTGATTATGACTTGTTCTGCCAAAACAGGTGGCCATCTGAACAAAATTAGAACTACTCTAAAGTACCTTTGCCCAGCTGAACACATTCCTCACAAAATTGAGGTGGATATCAGCAAGTTAGATATAGGTGATAGGGTGTTCATCCCTGATGTTGAGGTTCATCCATCCATGAAGCTTCTAAGTAAGAACGAAACCATGCCCATATGTAAGATAGTCGCAACAAAGTTGGAGAACCCAGAATCTGCAGGAGTATAGGCACTGATGCACAATTTTACGACTTTCCTGCATTTGGTAGCTTGAATCACGAGGAGAAGAAAGAAGTTCAATAAGTCTTGATTTTTCCTAAGGCTACTGATTGAGCTGGTGGTATGTGCCGTGTGATTCCCAAGTTGAAAAAAAATTGTCATTGTTGTTTAGATCATAATCAGACAAGCTGAATTTTCTTGTAGCACTCTGAATAGAATCAGTGTTTGTTATATCATGTGCTGTTATCATCTCAGAATTTTCATGCATGTAGCTAAGCTTCAGTGAAGTGGTTAACAGAAGTTTTACAGCATACACTAGCTGTATTCCTTCCTGTTCATTTTTTCCAGCTTGATAGCTAGTGTGAATAGTTTGTGTTCGTAGCTTTTATGTGGCTTTTTTATGTTAGTTTTTTGTTGGGCCTCCGGCCTACATGTGACCCAAGAAATAAACAAAATCCGGGATGAGCATTTTGAAGTAGGAAAGTTAGGCTTGTAGGATTTTTGTTTTGTCTGTTTATTTGGGCCTCTCCTTATGTGAGGATCCTCAGCCCTGAATTGAGCAACTGCCGGTTGCCCGAGTAAACTTACCTGCAATTGAGTTTTGCCCCTTTATGTCTATCGTTGTCCATTTTTCTCGCCACATGACATTTGAGGAGTGAGACAGACTAAATCGTATACACTCGGCCACATGACACGTGAGGAGAGAGACAAACGCAAATGATATACACCCCGGTTACGTGTTCCTCCGGAGTAATATAAGAGCCATATAGAGATTTCACATGTGTAGAACTTGTATACGTGTTGTTCACATAGGATGATGGGGTGACACAGATCATGACATGGAATTGAACAATTATATAACAATTCTATGGATGTAATGCTAGTGAATTTTACCAAACCCACCATACCATTCTAAGTCAACGCGTTCCCTCCTTTTCCTGTCACTGTACTTCTTGATCTTTATGAAAACTACCATATCTTGACCATATTAACATTAATAAAGTTTCAATTGAATGTAGGTGGATGTTGAAAATCGACGTCCACTGTTGGATGGATTGCGATGGTCAATGGCTCAAAAGCTTCTCAACACTACACTAACAATCATATGGCATCTGTGTATCACTTTTTCCATATTCTTCAAACTTTTTTTTTTCATGCCAAGTTTTCTTATTATGTTATTTATGCATATTAAATTTATTTAAGTCAAATAGTAATAATGTGTTTTCAGTTGGTTAATTTAACTAAACCCCATAGTTATCCACATCATCCGCGAAAACAGATACAGATAATGGCGCGGATTCTATATTTATATATTTTAGCTCGAAAATTATCCAGTTTATTGATTTCGTGTTATTAATTAATGAATTAATTTAAAATTGTAATATAAACAGAAATAACGGCCACAACAAAAGCGAGAACGTTGAAACATGGTTAGAGAGAAAAGAGAGGCATAAGAATATTGACCTCTCAATTCTCTCAAATATGGAGACAGCTTTATACGTTTGTTGTAGTAGTAATTGCAAACCGCGTTATTGTGAGAAACGAAAAAGGAAAACGAATTAACGAACACCACCGTCTCAGGCAGAGGCGCTAGTTCTTCTCTCATGGCCTGGTCTCTCGAGCAAGATCCCTCATGGATCTTCTCCTGGACCTCCTAGGCCGCCTCCTTCCCGCCAATTTCCTCGTCTCACCTCCTGCGTCATAATTCATCAAAATCCAATTCGTTAGGGTTCGTGATTTTGATCATGAGTGATTTCGACCATGGGTTGGTTGTCTAACATTTCCTTCTCTTCTTCCTCCTCGTCGTCCCCTTCTTCGTTTTCGTCGGTGTTCAGATCATCGTCTGCCGAGTCGCCAAAACAGAAGGCGAGCGATGACGGAGGATGGATGTTCCGATCCAGGAGGAAGCTCACGCGACAGAGGAAGCAGCTTTTGATCAGCGGCGGCGGCGGAGGAGACCAAGACGGTGGAGGTGGAGCCATGAACAAATGTCCGAATTCTCCGTTGCCTGAAATTGCATCGTCGCTGGCTACTCCGCAGCCGCTTCCTTTGCCGGAATTGACGAAAGAGAGGTGCCGGAAAGAGAGGGGCTCGGGTTGCAATTCCGGTGATTTTGGAGACAGTCGATTGCCGTCTCCCAAGGCCGGTGACGGTGCCGCCTTGAACACTCCGATTCAGAGGTACAATTTTTGTGATTCTCTTCTTTGATTTTCATATTTTGTGCTGTGGTTTGATTCATTTTATTTTGTTGTCTTTCGAAATGGTCGCATAAGGTCTTATTTCAATTCCTATTGCTAGTTCTTAGAGAAAAACAATCAAACATTTGATGGATTAATGACATGCATGAATTATTTAGGAGGAGAAAAAAAGAATGAGGATTTGTGATTTTGAATGCACTAACATATCCATGTCTGTCAGATATTCCTTGTTGCAGATTTGGCCTTTGAATTTCCTTTTATTTATACATACATATGCTAATACTTAAAGTATGACTTCTGTGTTGACATATAATTTTTGCATTTTCAGTGTGATTGCTTCCCGAGACACAAGAAAGAATCATGACCATGCATTCGAGACAAGATCAAGGTCTAGGTGGAAGAATCGAGATATGAATGGTTTAGAGATCGATCAAAAAGACTTCAGGCTTGATGTTCCTATTTGGAGCGCTCCTGCTAGTCCTTTCTCAAGTCCTACATTCAGCCCACACAGACCCAGTGCTGGTGATCTGCTCCCTCACATTAATCCTATGGGAAATCAAGTCTGGTCTGCCCCTGAGATGCCCACTTCCGATATGAATCCCGGGCTTCCTCCCCCTGCCTTCTCAGATTACTCTATAGTTAGCAATGATAATTCCCCTATACACAGTCCTTCAAATAGAAGTCCCTGCCGAAACCCCAGAAGCCCACCAGGCTCAACATCACCATTGCATACCAAATTATCAATTGAAGCCTCCACAGCCCGGCGCGAGGGTAATGGTTATGTTGAATTCCATCCATTGCCTTTGCCTCCTGGAGCAAACCTTAGCCTACCTTCGCCACAAGCTCTACTCACACCCAAACCAGAGTCCCAGCCAGTCAAAGGACAATGGAAAAAGGGAAAGCTTATTGGGCGTGGCACGTTTGGAAGTGTTTATGTTGCTACCAATAGGTGTATACAGTTCCTTACACTGTTAATGATAGTTTCTCTTTGTCTTTCTAAATGCTGATCGCGGTTTTTACGTTGTAACAGAGAAACTGGAGCCTTATGTGCAATGAAGGAAGTTGAATTATTTCCTGATGACCCAAAATCTGCAGAATGTATAAAGCAGCTACAGCAGGTTATTATTGATATGTATAGATAAGCTTTTTACTTCCTCCCACCCCTCTTGTAGATTTAGCTATCCTGGATTTTTCTGTTTGACATCACTTTTTCCTAAATTACCTATTGAACCTCAGGAGTACCACTGTATCAGGAGGCAGTATGGCTACTTTCAGCCTATTGGATATCTCAACTTCTATTTTCGTTTATATAATTAATTAGACACATGAAAACTAAAGTTAACTTTTGTGGGCTGAGATGGTGGCAGAATAATTTTTCCATGGATTATATTTTGATGGACTCTGAATCTCTGGTTTGGTGGTTCTGCGAATGTATTGAGTTCATGAGTGATATATTATGTCAGGTTATCAATGTGCTTCCTACTCATTTATTCTTATTTCAGGAAATCAAAGTTCTCAGCCAGCTGGAGCATCCTAATATTGTGCAGTACTATGGAAGTGAAATAGTGAGTAATGTTGCACTTGCATGTTTAGGCATCCAGGCGCAGTTTTATCCATTGGAGTATTCCTTAAAAAAGCACAATATGCGTTCTTTTGTATGCAGGTTGATGATCGATTTTATATATATCTGGAGTACGTCCATCCTGGTTCTATTAACAAATATGTCCATGAACATTGTGGAGCCATAACGGAAGCTGTTGTTCGCAGTTTCACTCGCCATATACTCTCTGGGTTGGCTTACTTGCACAGCACAAAGACAATACACAGGTACAATCACATGCTTAATTTGATATCAAAAATGGAATGTGAGACTAAATCCAATGTAGCAAATAAAAATTAGTATTTCATGCACCTAAGCCAAAAAATTTGTCATTGTCAGATGTGAACGAATTTTTTTCAGTGAAAAGGCCTATACAATTGTACTTGGGGTCAACTAGGTTTCATAGTTTTTTTTTCTCTGTTGATAGGGACATCAAAGGGGCTAATTTGCTTGTCGATTCATGTGGGGTTGTCAAGCTAGCTGACTTTGGAATGGCAAAACATGTAAGTTCTGTTCTTTCTTCATTCCTTTCTTTAGATTATCATTCTTCTCACTCCTTTGTTCCTTGAATTTGTGGAAATTCTGTTTGATTTATAAAACATCTAGTCATCTGGTTGTTGTCAAGCTAGCTGATTTTGGAATCTAGTCATCTAGCGGTTCTACACATTGATACATGCGAGTCACCATTCTTCATGTGGCTATGTATAATTACTGTCATCATAAGCAATGTTATAGTTTCTACTGTTGTTGCCACCATATCACTTTCTGTGATTCATTGTTTACTATCTGATTTTGGGTTTACATAGTTGAATTTATTTGTTGCATAGCTTTCGGGACACGTGGAGAATCTTTCTCTGAAGGGAAGTCCATACTGGATGGCTCCAGAGGTATCTTTTGCTAATCAGTCTGTGGTGGCTTAGAGGGGCTATGCCTTCTGATACTGATACAATTTTCTTCCTGCAGCTCATGCAAGCTGTGATGCATAAAGATAACAACTCTGATCTAGCTCTTGCTGTTGATATATGGAGTTTGGGTTGCACTATTATTGAGATGTTCACCGGAAAACCTCCTTGGAGTGAGTATGAAGGGGTAAGTACATAATGTAGTTTTTGTATTCAACCATGAAACCTGTTTCATCTTGTGCTTTGAAGGTGTCTACTCCATTTGGTCTAATTTGAGGTCAATATGTTGAAACTTGTGAGATACAAAATGGGATCCAGTGCATGCTTTTACCTGGTCATGTACAGTTTGATAAAATCATACACTTCCTTTAGCTTCTTCATTTAAGTGGATCTTTGCTCATCTCTCTCTCCCCTTGGCATTGTGAATGTATATTCTAGTTCAAGTTCATTTATAATTTTCTGCACTGCATTAAAACCCCTCCCTCTGTTTTCTAAACATTTGTCTATTAATGCAGGCTGCAGCCATGTTTAAAGTTATGAAAGATCTTCCACCAATTCCCGAAACATTGTCATCTGAGGGTAAGGATTTCCTGAGATGCTGCTTTCGAAGAAATCCTGCAGAGAGGCCAACTGCTGCCGTGTTATTAGAACATCGATTCTTAAAAAATTCTCAGCCGCAGGATGTCCAGTCTGTCACCCCGTCTGTCACCCAGGCATCTAATGCGATGAATTACATGGTAAATATAAATGCCAGGCCGCTTGTTTTTATTGAAGTCAAGTTATTAGTATTACAATTTGTGTTATGGCTACAGGGTAAACCCCGTCCAGTCGAACTTGAAAGAAAATACGATCAGTCACTGATGATTCCAGGCATACTTGGACCCCAGACCAGTGCATTCCCAATTCGGTGATTGCCAAGTCTTGGATGCTGACAGATCCAGCTTCTTGCAAAATTCTTTTTCTCCAGTAAACTGGCCAACAATGTCCTTATGAAACTTCAAATTTAACAGTGGCCTCATGTTAACCTTGAGGGCCTTCCCAGATCATCTTCTCCAGCTCAGTTTGCAATTCAAATACCCCATCCCCCCTGCCGAAAGCTATATTGTTTTCAGATGACTTGCGGAGAGGGAATGATAGCTGCCTTTCTGTTCATATTTCTGCAGAGAAAGCGGCTTCTGAATTGTAGGCGTAGCGGATGATGCTCTGGTAGGTGATTCGCGGGCATAGGGTGTTACTACCCTTGTAGGTTCTTTCCCTCATCCTTTTTGATGGCGTGGAAGTTTATCTTGCACTGGGACCTTTTTTCGGTCGAAAGCACTGGGACCTTAGAAGCAGTTTTTGTATGCCACTAACTTATTTTAGAGCTTCAGCAGAAGAAGTCTTTCGACAAGGCCTTCTGAAGGTAATGCTCTCAGCTCTATATACAATTGATGGACCCAAAAGAAAGAAAAAGTGAATGTTGTTTTTACTCTAAAATAAATGATTTTGCAAATTTTATTTCACACTGATATTTGTCAAGTTGATGCAGTTCAAATCAAACTCAACTATATTTTTTTATACAAGCGATAGTCTAAATTAGAGAGGAGTGGTTTCTCACATACACAATTGATGCCATGTGGGTTTCTCTAATCAAACTCAACTGCTAGATCTGATTCTGTGCAGCACTTAATGGTTTTCTCTAATTAGGCCATCAGCACATTTATCTGATGTTAAATAAAAATTTCGACAAAACCAAAAAAATAAAAAGGGTTACATTTATACCAGAACAGGAATTGTATTGGAACCCCCGTGCATATAAGACAAAAATGTGTTAGAAAACATTTGTTTTCAAATTCCCAATAATATAAATAAAAAATTTTAAGACAACTTTTCTAGTAGAAGTTTGTCTTTTAACAATTCTAATTTTCGAGCCTGTTTGGCAGGATTTTTGAAGGGTTGAAAATGTTTTCCAGATGATCACAAGTGATTTTAGTGACATAGAAGCACTTTTTATTAAGCTCATTTTCGGAAACATTTGATTTTTAATAACAAATTTATTATGCATTTAATAAAAATGCTTTCAACTAAAGCATTTCTAAGAATAATGATTCTGAAGGAGAGGGAATCGGAATCGAGCTTATGACTTCGAATACATAAATAAATACTCTTAATTACTTGAATTACGATAATAAAAATAATAATTCATAAAATCACTCTTAAGTGGAAAGTCTCCAAAAGGAATTTTCAATGGTAAATATATCAATTAGCAACCCTTAATTTCACAGATAAAAAGTCCCTATCAACTCAATTTGATATTTTCCAGTAGTGGTCCACTCCAAGTCTCCAACAACCATTATTTTTCTCCTCCTTTTTACCATTTTCTATCTAGTGGTGCCCTTTGAAATTTGGATGACTCTCTCTCTCCCCTATTCATTTGGTCAAAATCAAAATAAAGAAAGAAATACTTATTGCCAAAATCCCTGAAAAAGACGAATCCTTTTTGGCACCATCATACATATCATATTTATTTTTTAAGGCAGCCATGACAAAGTGCTCTGACGGGGTTGAAACTTGAACCCATTTGAACATTTATATCCTCTTCTCCCCCGTAGCTCTCCAGAGAGTGCTCAGAGAGACATAGATGGAACCTCCGCCGGCACAAGCCATAGACACTTCCAGCAACAATCTTCAGGCAGGAGAAGATGAGCAGGACAAAGTCATCAATGAATGGTAATAATTCAATTAATTAATTTCTTCTGTAAATTTGTAATTGGATTTACTGTTTTATGTTTTATTTTATTTTTTTTGTGGGTGCAGTTGTTCCTGCTTTTATGACTGCACAGAGACCTGCTTGGATTACTTATTCTGTAATCTCTGTTAGATGAGATGGGATTAGATTAAGCATATAAGTTCATGTTGGTACTAGTTTTATCCTTTTTTTTTCTTTTTTTTTTTGGTGTGGTTTTCTTTGACTAGCTTGCCTGTTGATTACATTGGATTTAACATGAATATGATTTTTTACAATATATTCCTTACAATATATCATATGATCAGCAGCAATATAATATAATATATTTTATTTTTTAAAGACTCTTTAATTTTCTAGTTTGAAAAGAAGGAGACTAAGAGAGTAGTGTGATGTTGGCTACTCTTTTATTACTAAGAAAATGGTCTACAATTTAGGGATTTGGTTGCTATGTGTCTTGCTGAAAATTTGTCCAACTCGAGAGAAAGATTTACATAAAGCGGAGATAACACTATTTTGCTATTTTTGGTCAATAACATTATGATACGTGAGATAATATTTGCACTTGGCATGTCATTATTGGCACTAAATTTTTCTGTACTAAGAGGGTAATTTTTCGATGTCACTGTAACACACGTTACTTGGTGCAATATGGGATCCCTAGATTAATTCTCGAAGCATCCAAGTTTTTGACCTGAAAAATGAATCGGCCAAATCCTAAAAAATAAAATAGTCAGTGAACAAGATCAAGCAAGATTAGCTCAATCTCAGCATATCATGTGTGTCCAAATATAGCACGCCTTCAAATTTTCTCCCAAATTTGAAGAGAAAATAAAAGTAGACCTAATCCAAACAAATCCATTGTAATTGATCACGAACAATTTCATTGTAATCCCTTGATCTCTGTTCACAAAAATTTCTTGTTATTTTTATAACGTACAATTGAGTATTAGCTAGTTACTTTGAATTTCGTCTTGCACTGGTCTTGCGTGATTTGTGCTTTCCTTCTACAACAAATCCAACCATTCAAGCTTTCTTCACCTTCACTGATTTTTGCTAAGGCTTTAGATGTTCTCAAAGCAAAGCCAACATATTCTACATTGGGCTTCAATTTTTTCAAGAAAAAAAAAACAGAACAAAGGAAGCAAATATACATTGGTACTCATACATAGCTACTTGCTGAACCATGTGGAGATTGGCAACTCCCCCGTCCACAAAATACGATCAAACTACAGGGGATTTGAAAATTTTCTAAAGAATTCTTGCGTAAAAAAAATCATGTAGAATATAGTTCAAGATTCGAAGAACTTCATCCAACGTTTATTCATTCATTTTGTTGAGAGTATATCCCACATTATAAAATTAAAGTATTACCAAAAAGAAAAAAAAAATTATTGCGTCTTAAAAGAAGAGATCCTAAATTCAAATTTCTGTAATTGTACCCTCAATTCAAGTATTTCAACACACAAACACATGCATTGAATTGTCTCAACTTATAAATCTCCTCTGCATTTCCCACTTGCATATTAGTGATACTTGCTCCTCAAGGTGACAAAGTCTAACCCCATTCGGTGGCTTGACTTCATGATCTCAAATAATGCTTTGATAGATCCATTTTACTAGCTCCCATTATACTGTGCATGCTTATGCTTCTTTCCACTAGTTGATGGAAAACATCTATCCATGCATGGCACTTTCGCAAATAAATTTGATTTCCTTCAACTTAAAATGCGCTCCAACTCCTACCCTATCCTAAGACTTTAGTCAACTTGAGAGTAAGCTAGCTAGTGTCCCTTTTCCAGGAACTAAAATACATCATCCTAATCACTTGTTAAAAATAAATAATTAATTTAATCCATGGAGAGTGGCTGCTCCATACTTTTTAATAATCCAATAATAACCCAAATGCAGTTGGACCAAACTCAATTGAATAAGACAACTTCAGTTAGTGCCTCTGCCACTCTCCCAGAGAACATAATTAGCTGCATCTGCACAACTTCATGCAATTTCCTTTGAGTCTTTGACTGTCTCCCTCTCTGTATAAATATGGCGCTGCTTCTACTTTGCTACTCTGCAAGAAATGGAGCATAAATTCTGTGTTGTTACCTTGTTTTGCCTCTTGTTCCTCAGCCCTCTTGTGTCCTGTCAGCTTGATTATAGATTCTATGATGCCACTTGTCCCAACCTGACCAGGATTGTTCAATCTGGCGTTTGGTCAGCTATTGCAAATGATTCTAGAATTGCAGCCTCACTTTTGAGGCTTCACTTCCATGATTGCTTTGTTAATGTAATTAACTTGTCTTCACTCATTTCTTATATATTTGCTACATCTAAATACTTGTTTTTGTCTAACTATAATCATAACAAAATATCCGAACCCTATTTCTTGTAATACAATTTTATAAAAGTTAAAGCTATTATAATTCGAGGACCTTGTATTTAATTTCTGACTGTTTGTTGAAGATGTTCAGTTGGTCAAGGTAATGTGCATGCCGCTTGCAGCCGAATTTGAATCTTCCTCCACAAAATTTAGATTAGTTTAGAATACCGCTTTGTTAAAAAGAACGAGACTGTTTGCTAATTTGATCAGCTCTGGTTTATTGACGACTTGGTTTGATTTTGTGGGGAGGCAGGGATGTGATGCATCTTTGTTGCTTGATGATACCGGCAGTCTTGTTGGGGAGAAAAATGCACCGGGCAACAAAAATTCAGTCAGAGGTTTTGAGGTGATTGACAAAATCAAGTCAACTGTGGAGGAAGCTTGCCCATCCACTGTTTCTTGTACTGACATAGTCACTCTTGTGTCAAGAGCAGCTGTTTATTTTGTAAGAAGTTAGCTCCTTAATTTACTATGCAGAGATTTATGAAATGAATCATTTAATTAATCTCTGAAATAACCCCAAATAATTTAAATTTCTACATCATTTATCTTGTCTTTTTGGTCAGAGTGGAGGGCCATATTGGCCTGTACCCTTGGGTCGTCGAGATAGCACAACAGCAAGTGAAAATGCAGTTAAGGAGCAGTTGCCATCACCCTTTGAGCCCTTGGAGAACATCACTGCAAAATTTACAGCAAAAGGCCTTGACATAAAGGATTTGGTTGTGCTCTCAGGTTTGCTTCCTATCTCATATCAACTTCTCACGTTTGAAAACTTGTCACACCTTTATTTGTAACAGATTAGAAATTTAACGGGTTCACGATGACACATTTAAAACGAGAATTCCTATCCAATGATGGCACTTTTTCATATTTTCCTAAAAGGGTTTTCAGATTTGTTATGAATCCATCACACTAAACAAAATAAAATTTTGGATGATTATTACTAAAAGCTCTGATAATTACAAAGGTTAATGAGCCATATATACATATGTGGACTTTATGTCTTTATGCAGGTGCACATACCATCGGCTTTGCTCAATGCTTCACGTTCAAGACAAGACTCTTCAACTTTCGTGAGTCTGGCAAGCCTGATCCAACACTAGACGCATCACTTTTACAAAATCTGCAAAGTTTGTGCCCAAATCAAGCAGACTCTGACACTCAATTGGCTCCTCTGGATCCTGTCACTTCAACCAAGTTTGACAATATATACTTCAAGAACCTTGTGAACAATTCTGGACTTCTACTGTCAGATCAAGTGCTTATGGGGAACAATAGAACTGCTTCAATGGTTTTTGGCTACAGCAAATTCCCTTTTCTGTTTTACAGGGACTTTGGGGCATCAATGGTGAATATGGCCAATATTGGTGTGCTCACAGGAAGCAATGGAGAAATCAGGAAAAACTGTAGGGCGGTGAATAAAAAAACTACTGCCTAGTTGTTAGTGTGTGTGTGTTTTGTGTTAAATACTTAAAATATATGCTCTTGAAATCACACATTTTAGGGCTAGTTTTGGATTATTGTCACTTTTTTAAAAAGTTGCTTTCACTATACTTTAAAAATAATTAGATGTAAAGTAAAACAGTTCCATGTTTAATATAAAACTGTTGTAATTATGAATAATGGCTAAAATAGACATGATGTTAAAAGTGTTATGCATTAATCATGTGGTGGTAGTGGTGGTGGAGGTTGAGGAGGAGGAGGTGATGGTGGTGTCGGCTGTGTGATCGTGGTGTAGGTTGTGGTGGAGGAAGAGGTGTAGGAAGAGGTGGTGGTTGTGACAAAGGAGGAGAAGGAGGAGGATGTGATGGTAGTGGTCGGGGTGGAGGTGGTGGAGTTGGATATAGAGGTCAAGGTGGTGTTATTTTTTAAAACTAATGATGGTATTTTGAGAATTAAAAAAAATTCATTAAATGATCATCTCTGCTTATTTTGAAAGCAGCTTTGAAAAGCAACCCAGAACCTGCTTTTAAAAGCTCCTGTCAAAAGCCCAGTGCTTTTAAAATAATCGGGATATTTTATTTTTATCAAACACCTTAAACTGCTTAACTTTAAAATGAAGTAGATTTTGGCCAAAAAAAATAAATCCCAAACAAGGGCTTAGTTAGATTGCATTAATCAAGTGTTGGTTATGTCAAGGTCACATTGGATACAACTAGAAAGTAATCAATCTCCACTGTAATAGGCAAGAAGCCACCCTCCGCATCAAATTATAATATCCCACCTAAATACTAATAAAGCTTCCATTTAGGAATTATTTGAGGGATACTTATAGGGCATATTATGGATTGCATTTCACTAATCCAAACAATCTATTTGTAGATATTCATTCAAAGTTCATCTATACAAAAAATCAATTGAATCAAATATCATTTGACCACTCAATTATTGAAATTTAAGTACTTTCTTAAAATACCGTTTTAATTGATTTTGTAGGACACAATTAGATGTTAAAACGGTTTTGTCTATTTTTTAACAAGAATGAACATGAATGAAGACCTAAAAAATAGATAGTTTGGATTGTTAAAAATAAATTTGTATGGTATCCTAAAGGACGTCCCTCAAATAAAATTATTTGAGAGATCCCTCAATAAAAGAGGACTAATGATGACATATTGTAAGTATTGTGAGCACATGAATGATGTATATATGTTGATTTCACAACATCTCAAATTAAAATGATATGAATCTCGCTAACAATGACCATGTGTCAATTATTATTTTGCCGTATCAAAGTAACATGTTCGCAAGGCAAAACTAGGCCTAGGCAAGACCCCACCCCAAAAAAAAAAAAAAAAA